ATTGCCACTCGACGAGTCGAGAGCCCTGTGCGCGTCTCGGTCTCAGGTTCTGGAAATTTTGGACGCGTCGAGCCCTTGGCTCAACGCGTCGAACTTGCTATGTACGCGTCCTTCCGTTCACTTTGACTCCAAATTTGTCCTAGAACTACCCTTGTCTTTGCTCTTGACCTACAATGATTCCAAAACACTAACAAACACCGTAAAACATTCAAAACAAGTGTGAACCATATCTAAATGATAAAACAAGGGATTATGCAAATAAATTACCAAATTCATGAACTTAAGCCTAATAAATATATTCAAACTAATATTAGAAATGTGCACAATTAGACTCACATCACTTCTATTATTAATTTTGGTTCACCTCCTGCTGCTACCCTTGGCCACTTTGGTTCCTTTGCTTCTGTCCTAATTCATTTTGTTCATCATGTTGCTGTTGTCCTAATCTAGTGTGGTCATCCTGTTGTTGCTGTTGTCCTAATCATGTTTGGTCATCCTGTTGCTGCTGTCATAATCCTGTTTGGTCATCCTGCTGCTGCTGTCCTAATGCTGTTTGGTCATCCTGCTGCTGCTGCTATCCTAAAGGCAAGTGGATGGGGATTTGTTTGGTGGCATAAATGACCCTCTTCTTTGGTTTCAACTGAAAAAACAAACACTATAAGTTACAAATACTCCCCATTAATATTCTAATCCAACACTATATCAAATTATACCTTTTTATTTAGATTAGATGGACACTTTCTTGAATTATGTCCAGCTTGCTTACATAGAGAACAATGTAGTTGAATATGCTTTCTGGACACTGAAATTCCATCTTGACTCAATTCACCAGTGGATTTTTTTCTTAGCTTCTTTGGCCTCCCAACTTGCATAGCACCAAAACTTAAATCAAAGTTCATAGATTACATATACAAAGGATAATGAGTAGGCAATCAGTAATTACCTTGGCAGAATACAAAGGTGGCAATGGAGGGGGGTGGGGGGGGGGGGTTATGTCACACATAGGCCACTCAGCAGGACCTGCCATGGGGTTGATACATCCACTATATCTCTTCAAATAAGTTTCTTTTGAGTAACATGAATGAACAAAGTCAAACACAACAGGTACACCCTTCTTATATTTATTCCAAATAGCACATATTAATTGCATGCTTGCATGGAATGCCAGACATCTCTCACTTCCTACAAGAACATTTTTTTCTTTCCAAGTCAACCTCTTGTTGATCCCTATATAATTTTCCAACCTCAAACTTGAAGAAATCACATTGTGTTGTCAAGTAACCTGTTGCATCCTTCTCAATTTGCTTTAACTATTTTACAATGGTAGGACATATCAAAGCCTTCCATGAATCCATTCTGCTGCTTTTTGTCTTTGCTCAAAGAATTTACCCATCAACATTTTCTTTATCATTTCTAGGCAGTCTATAATTGGCTTGTCCCTTTCCTCCGATATAGATGTATTCCATGACTCATAGATGATGTTATTTACCAACATGTCGATCACAGTGGCATTTTGTAGAGAAGTGGGATCTAAACCATTCTGTTGGAGTCTTATCACCTAACCATTGGTATGCATCTTCATCTAATCCACTAAGTTTGCTTAAAGCAAGATTGAATGCATTTACCGTGGTTTCCCTAGCACAAACCCATAGAGAATAAACAATAATCAACATATTGGTCCACATATTGGTTCCCACATAACAAAACACAAGTACAAAATATATTATGCATATATAAACCACACGACAAACCCTAGATATGCTTTACTGTCATTCTACTCCACACAAACAAGAAATATTGTCATACACTATCAATTTCATAAAATTTTAATAGTTAACAAATTGTTTATTACTTAGTTGTAGAGTAATTGGCGCAGAACCCGTTCCGGTCGCAGATGAGGATTTACACATTGTAGGAGACGAAGTCTAGTCGCAGAAGACGAAACATCCCTCAATCAGAGTTGATGCCCAGCGTAGGAGACAGATTCCTTGCTTTCTTCCTTCTTCTCTAGCCCTACTTATTGTTCTGCCCGACGACCGAGAGTAGCTTCCATTCGTTCTTCGTCGGTTTTGAGAAATTAGGTTAAAATCAATTTAGGAATTTTGAGAAATTAGAATGCCCATCTCACAGATGAATTTTCCTTTAAAAAAAAAAAAAAAAAAAAAAAAAAAAAAAAACTTAAATTGATTGTTTTGCTCCCATGAATAAATAACTTAAAAATGCTTACATTTTTTCAGCGACATTTGTCCAGTGATTTGGTCGGGAGGATCAAATGTGTTAAAATTGCATAGTTACGGGACTAAATTGTTAGTTTTTAAAGTCGAGTACTGAAATTAACAAGACCCCAAAAGTCATAGGACCAAAAATGTAACTTTCTGAATTGTGATACTATTTAGAATAAAATTGATTGTTACTAACAACAAATGTTGTAAGACTTATAACTAAAATTATGATACTTACACACTCAATTGGCTACAACTCGACCTGCCTCACAGACAAGGATTAGTGAGACGGTTTCGCACAAGTTTTTGTCAGAGTCACACTTGTGTGAGACGATTTAAATTTATGATAATTGCTTGTTACTTATGATAGAAATAATAATTACTTAATACAAAAAATTTAATAACAATTTGAAATAAATAAATTGTTAATTTTTGAGTACTCAAAATAAATTGTTACTTATAATAGATATTGTAATATTTATATGCGGATTTACGATAAAATGATTATTAATAATGATAAATATTGTAATACTTATAACTGAAATTGTGATACTTACCAAATGTAATTCTAATGTAAATATTGTAATATAGTAAATTTCATTTTGGTCCACTAACTATTGCAATTGTGTTAATGGCAATCCCTAACTTTCAAAAGTGTTAATTTAGTACCTTAACCATGCAATTTTTATCAATTTTGGTTACGCCGATCAAATTACTGGCCAAATGTGACTGAAAAAATTTTAAATCAACATTTAATTTTAAATGAAAGGGACAAAATCGTCATTTCTTGTTAACTTTGAATTGGGAAAATGATGCTTGACCAAAAACAATTTCCGACCTCTGGGACTTGCCGTCTGCTTAGCTGCTCCCTCTCACATCGCCGTCGGAGTCCAAAGTTGTCGTCAAAAAAAAAATAAAAAAAAAAAAAAAAAAAAAAAAAAAAAAATAATAATAATAATAATAATAATAATAATAATAATAATAATAACAGAACAAATTTCATGTAGTGAAATACAGAGTGCATGATGTTATTGTTAAAAGAATAAGGGCAATGAGTCAAGATATACTGAAGCAAAATAATGCTCTGGGAAAAATGAACTAAGAATCTAAAATATTCCAGCAACTGGATCTTATAATGAGAGCACAATTACATTTGATAAAAAGAACTAAATTCGTCGGAGCAGCTGAGTGGACGGCAGTGATTTAAATTCGAATCATATTAGATGATTGCCGACGGATTAAATTCAGTTTATTTGAATTTATATATGGCACTTGTAATCCGAATTTAAATCATCTATAACACTTGTAATCCGAATTTAAATCATCTAAGAAATCATCGGAAGAACACCCGTTGGCACTGACGACGACTTTGGACTCCGACGGCGATGTAAGAGGAAGCAGCTGAGCGGACGGCAAGTCCCATCGGAAATTGACTTTGGTCAAACATCACTTTCCCAATTTGGAGTTAACATGAAATGACAACTTTGCCCCATCTATTTAAGATAAATTGTTGATTTAAAATTTTCCAGTCTTATTTGGCCGGCGTAATCAAAATTGACAAAAATTACATAGTTAAAGTATTAAATTAACACTTTTGAAAGTCAGGGATTGCAATTAACACAACTTCAATAGTCAGTGGACCAAAATTGAAATTTACTCTATTGTAATACTTATACGTGAAATGTTAATTATGATAAAAATTGTAATGCTTATTGTAAAAAATTTATTACTAATTTGAATTAAAAATAAATCGTTACTTATGATATATATTTTATAGAATAATATTTATACGTGAAATTGTGATACTCTTTAGCATTAGTACAAAAAAAAAAAAAAAAAAAAAAAAAAAAGCATAAAATTAGAATTTTTGTCAACCTTTTTTAAAAAATGGGCGGTGTTTGGTTAAAAAATGTGCAATCACAAAATTATAAATAAATTGATAAGAAACTGCGACCCTTTAAAAAAAATAGGAACGCGATTTTAAACAAAAAGCGTCAACTTTCAGTAACTCTTTCAATAAAAAAGGATTGCGGAGACTTATTTAAAAAAAAAAAAAAAAAAAAAAAAAAACCTACTTTCCGTGACCCTTTCTTTCTGAAAGAGTCACTCGAAAAAAAAAAAAAAAAAAAAAAAAAAACTACTTTTGTCATTCTTCCAAAAGGCTGAACCCCAACCCTAAGGGCTCCCCACACCCCGACCCTTTCTTCCAAAAAAACTACTTTTGTCATAGATTTATAAATGGCGGTCCACTTTTAGTTCTTTTTTATTAGAGTATCTACATTTGGTTCTAGTATTATTATGACATGACCATTTTTTGTTCTCTATCAACAAAACAGTTTTAATATCGTTAAATAAAAGACATTTCGATCTTCAATTACGAATTTTTCAAAACAATAAACATAAAAATATAGTGGGATCAAGTTACATTGTATAAAAATGATCGAAATGCCTTATATTTTAACGACATTTCAACGATTTTGTTGACGGATGACAAAAAATGGTCATGTTATAATAATACTAGGACAAAATATAGATATTTTGTTAAAAAGAGACTAAAAATAGACTGTCGCTTATAAATCTGGAACAAAAAAAATGGAATTAACTCAAAAAAAATTATAAATATTTCCTCTACTTTTTTTTTTTGGAAGAAAGGGTCGCAAAAATATTAATTTAAAAAAAAAAAAAAAAAAAAAAGAACTTTGAGCTACCGCTCAGTTAGGAGTCGCGGAAAGTCGAGTAAAAACACATCTAACACCCTACTACCCTAGGCCCTAGCGCAAAACAGATCTCTCGCTTACATACTCCGCCGTCGCCGTCGCTTACATACTTTGCGGCCTACAGCTACCACACTGATCTGTCGCCGTCCGTCTGTCTCCGTCGTCGGACAAAACCACCGTCTCCGTCGCTTCTTCTGATCTGTCTGCGCCTTCAGATCTGTCTCCGTCGCCGTCACCGTCCCCGTACGTCGCTGTGCCTTCAGATCTGTCTCTCTCTTTCTCTCTTAAGGTATTCTATTCCTCCACTTCTGTAATATGTTTTGTAGCATTCCCGTTTTGTGCATGAATCGCTTCCTCTGATCTGTCTTCGCCTTCCCGTTATGTTGATTACCTCAATCAGTTGCATCATAATCTGCTTACTTTTTTTTTAATTTTTTTTTAATTTATGGAAGCATGAAAGATAGCCTAAGTTATGTTGATTACCTCAAAGTCTTCAAATTATTCGAACAGTAAAGTTCAATTTATTTATGGTGTTGAGCAATAGTAGTTCAAAGATTCTATTCAATATTCATAGCCATTTGCAATTGACTAGAAGCCGTACTTACATTTTGAGCCCAAAATTAAAGCCATTACCATCCATTGTTAATATCTGATCTATTTAGAATACAAAATTCAGTTTTGTATCTGATCTGGTGTGCGTAAATTATATTCAACCTGTCAGAATCCAGCCTTTAATTTAGATCAAACTTTGAAAACATTTGGCTTCTGGAAGATGTGAGAATATCTATCATGGATCTAGCTTCTTGGCAGAGGGAATTATATTTTCATCCTTTAATTTAATTAATACCTTAGCTTGTTTAAGGGATGGTAATTTATTACCAGTCTTAAGTTTGTATTTTAAATTTGATCTTTAATTTTGTTCACATAAGGGCTTCTCAATCAAGACCATGAATGGAGAGAATGATGAAGATAATGACCGAATAGATGAAATGGTGCATGATGTGCAGGGAGATTTTAGTAAAATGCCTCCAGAATTTAAAAGTGTGTTTGACAATGTTGAAAAACCTTTGTTCTCTGGTGTACTAAATTTACTAAGTCATCTGCTGTGCTTAAATTATATAATTTAAAAGCAAAGAATGGATGGAGCGATAAGAGTTTCACTGGATTATTAGAATTAGTAAAAGACATGCTTCCCAGTGATAATGAAGTTTCTAATTCAATCTACAAAGCAAAGACAACAGTGCCTGATCAGTCTGCATCTACCCCTACTTCTCACCATACATCTGTGTCTGCGCCTAAAAGAAGAGGCCCCACAACTTGCAAACCACAATCTACAGCAGCTCTTGGTAAGGAAGATTATCCAGGTTCTGTAAGAGGAACTGGTAAACCAGAGGGAAAACAGGGCACAACGAGTGGGGTTGTTAAGGTTGATGATATCAAAGAAGTTATGGAGAAATGCAAGCAAGATAAAAGGGCAAATATGCAATCCAAGATCAATATCATCAAACAGCAAGCGACGACACATCTACTTCCAGAAGATGCTTCGGTTAACTCTCCAAGTGTCCATGTGCCTTTTGATCTACCTCTTATCCGTAGCAGTTGTCAATCAGTTGATCCATACCCAGTTACTACAATTAAGGTAAGATTAAAAGTTTTTTAATAATCAAAATATTATTTTTTTTTGCCGTCTTGCAATATCCTTGGTGACACACCAATTGTTGTTGCAAAGGGTGTGGTTCACCCAACTACAGATGACACCGTGGTTCATCATCAGCCATTGTTACCTAACTATGTCAAAGTTTTGGGTGATGAGGTAGTTGGTTGTGCAGAGGAATTTAAACTCCCCGTGCCAACTCACTATTATGCCATTGTGTGAGAAATCGTGGCAAATTTTGCACAATGAGACCTTTGTAGTTAGTTATTTTAGATGATGCATGCATTTTTATATTTATTTATTAAGTTAGTTTTTGCTGTTTATATTTTAAATAATGTTAGTATAACTATAATATTACATTATATTTGTAGGAAAATGTCAAAATAAGTTCACCAAGACAAAATAAAAAAATTAAAAATCAAAGTGGTGAACTACCTATTATTGGTACGCTACCTCCGATTGTTAGCGATGATGTTTTACCGCACTTGGGGGACAATTGCAAGCAGTTAGTCAATTTGTTGACATTATTACCTTCTGGTGAAGACTACATTGATTTGGAGATAGATCAAACAATCTTTCATCATAGAAATGTGGGTTATGTTTATGTGATGATGGAGGATATACAGGATTTGTTGACGATGAATTGGCTTGGCGTCTCAATTATACAAGTATTTATATTGTAAGTTTATATTTATTCTTGTGTTTTATATACATTTGTTTTTTATGTTTATTAATGTTTCTTATTTGTTAATTTTCAGATTTCTTAATCGATTGTGTAATGAGTTTGGAGTCACGTCAATCGGGTTTGCGTGTCCAACTCAGATTTCAAAGGATATGGTTAACTTAAATGGTGTTGCCGTTACGTCATATCTCATTCATGTCATGGATCAGCACAAGAATGAACAATTCATTTTAGCACCATATCATCAAGAGTAAGAAAAATAGTCCTTTTACTTTATTAATATAACTTAATAACTTTATTTGAAATATTTGATATTAAACTTATAATGTGTGTTTTTTTATGTAGACATCATTGGTTACTTCTTGTGATTTGCATACGCTCAAGAAGCGTATATGTGTTTGATCCCAAGGCTTGTAATCGCACCATTGAAGTTAAACCTTGTGTGAATATGTAAGTAAAGACTTTATCATTAGTATAAGTATTTTAAATTTTATTATATTGTTTATAAATTCTTATACATGTTTGTTTTTAATATAGGGCATTTCGACATATTCCTACGAACGGGCGAGGAACTAGGATGGTCAATTGGAAGCAATGCAAAGTATGAAAATTAAAGTTTTAAAATGATATTTTAATTTTTTATTTATTGTTTCAACTACTAAAATATATATACATTTTGTAGTGTCCGCAACAATCGGGAGGTGTTGAGTGTGGATATTATGTATTGCGAAACATGTATGAGATGGTGACAAAATATTCATCGGTTGATTGTTTTGATGAGGTAAGTGAAATTAAATAGAAGTATCTATGAATAAATTATAATTTATTAATTAACATATTTAATAATTTGATTAATTAAATTATTTTGTAGGTATTTGAACAAAATTCGTACTCTATCAACGAAATAGATGAGATTCGTGACTTGTGGGCGAAACACTTTTTGGAAGAATGCATGTAACTTTTTTTTTTTTTTTGAACAATTCTCTTGATTTTAATTTTAAATATGTGTTGATTTTTATTATTGTGTTGATAGTAGGTATTGTGATAATATATTGTGTTAAGTTTTTGTATGATTGTGAAATTTAGAGTATATTATTGTGTTATTGTGAAGAGTATATTGTATAGTTTTGCAAAATTATGTACATGATTTTAAATAAAAAAAAATTTAGGAGCTTTTGGCTTTTCTAAACCCATCATATGCGACCCTTGTACAAGGATATACTCTTGTACGTGGATACTCTTGTACAAGAGTTGCAAATTAATAATTTTGTACTATTTTAGGGTTAAATTGATTATTACTAACGATAAATATTTTTAATATTTATAATTGAAATTGTGATACTTACACACTAAATTGACTATAATCCGACACCGTCTCATGGTCACACAAGTTTTGGTCATTTATTTTATATTTTTTAAGAATAAGGGTCGGTTTGGAAAGCAGGAAAATGACTTCTGGAAAATGAGTTATTTTCTGGAAAACGTTTTACTTTCCTGTGTTTGGCTGTAAAGCAGAAAACTGTCTTTATGTGTTTGGTTCATCTTCTGAAAAATTTACAACTAAAGATTTTCATTATTTTGTTTAATTAAAATTTAATCTCACTGCAAAGTTTAATTAAAGCTTCCACACCCGTCTCTGCCAAATGAGAAACAAAACCTTCCTCTCATCCAACACAATAGAATACAAATTCAAAAGCTTGACATTGATTGGATTGGCACCTAAAGATCCTCCCAGAACTAACACTACTTTCCTTTCTTCCAAATCTCCCAATTCTTGGAAAAAAATATTGCCTTGCCATTTCTTTTCAATATTGAAAATCTCATTCGATTGCCACCAACTACACACTTTTTCATCAGCAAAAAACACTCAAATACTTAAATTGAATGCTAAAAATATTTTATCAGCAAATGAAATCCTCTGGTTTAATGAAAATATGGAATACTTGAATATTTCACTGGAAAGCACACGATTTGCGATCCTAGGGACTGCGTTTTGCTCATGAACTACAAATTTTACACCTCCAAGTGCCGCGTCGAGGAAAATGGCGTTCTGAAACAAAGCTTCGATTTCTTCTCTTCGCGGCCTTCCTCCTCTTCCTCGTCGTCTCCGCCACCGCCCATGGTGGCCACGATGACGATGATTCCGACCCTGTGAATCCAAAAAGCTTGACCTGAGATCTGGTGCCTGAGTCTTCGCCGACTGGTTTCCGGCCCGGCAACTTGGAAGAAGGTGAGAGAGAAGCGGCGTGAGGAGAGGGCAGGGAGAAGCGGCGTGAGGAGAGGGCAGAGAGAAGAGGAGTGAGGAGTGACGCGTGAGGAGAGGGCAGAGTCGCATAGAGAAGAGGCGTGAGGTGTCTGATGAGTGTAGAGAACTTGGAAAATGACTTCCTCTTTTTTTTGGGGGGAAGTCATTTTCCAAAAAAGAGAGTCATTGACCACAACTTATTTTCCTTTGACTTCTTTTTTCCTTGTCTAGCTAAACATTCAAAACCCGAAAAATGATTTTTCAGAAATCATTTTTCGAGTTTCCAAACACACCCTAAATGTTAAATTGGTCACTGAACATAACATGAAAGTGCAATTAGACTACTCGACATAAAAAAGTGCAATTATCCCACTCAACGCCCCAATTGCCTCCAATTTTACCGGATAGCCGGTTTGGTTGATTGCTGACATGGACGATTACATGGCATTAACAATTGCATTTCTTTATTTTTCTTTAATTTTTGTTGCTTCCAGCGTGTTTTTCTCCAGTCTTTCTAGCCGATTTCTTTTCTTTCTCTTCTTTCTCTTCAATTTCTCAAGCTTCAGCACAACCATGGTGTCCATGACGATCTTGATGGGCAATCCGCGTCTTCTCTTTAGATCTGAATTGAGTTCGGAGACGGAATCGGGTGTCGAGAACTTGGGAGGTGAGGGAGACGGAATCGGAATCGCGTTTCCAGTGTGTAAGAAACAAATTTTCTTCTTCGATTTCTCTTCTTGATCTTCGATTTTTTCGATTTCTTCTTCTTCTTCGATTTTCTTTGAGTGGATTATTGTGATGTTATTCGGGTCGCTGGGGAAACCCGGGAAGCAACCGCTGTCTTGGGTTACTTGGGAGGCGAAGGCAGTGAGGGAGATGGGTTTTTGTGTGTAGATCAATTTCTTGTTAAGGTTTTTAGCAGAGAGGGTTAGGTTGAGCTTGGCGGTGGCGGTGAGGCGGGTGGTGAGATGAAAGGCCAAGGGGCATTTGGGCTCAGAGCAATCAATGGCGCACCCATTTTTTGAATTGCAGAGATAACAGTTGCGGTCCGATCTTGTATTGGGCACTTTGGTGTAGTCGATCCCTTCCCGACCTTCTGGGTCGGTGAAGAACACCTCAGGAACGAAGAGAGCGCATAGAAGGTGGGCCCATTTTTCGTCTGTGGTAGGCTTGAGAGCGCCGTCGGGGAGCGGGCAGAGGGAGCAAGAAGGGGTTTGGGATTTTGCGAGACATTGGGATTGTATTCTGAAATCAAGAAGAGAAAGAAGAGACACTAGAATCAAGGGGTTTGGGGTTTTGTGAGACACTGGGATCGTATTCCATCAGTTGAACAACCATTAGTTTATGGTTCTTGAGCTTCTTCATCTGCAAGTTCCTCCGGTTCTTGATTTTCTACCGCGTGGATGATTTCTTTCTCTCCGATCTCGTCATCAAATATGGGACTGTATTCTGGAATCAAGAAGGGAAATCCAAGAAGAAAATGTTTGTTTCTTACACGCGAGAAGCAACGAAAATGAAAGAAAATAAAGAAATAAAATCACTAATGCCATGTAATTGTCCATGTCAGCAATCAACTGGAAAGAAGGATTGGAAATCGGCTATCCCGTAAAGTTAGAGGCATTTGGGACGTTGAGTAGGGTAATTACACCTTTTCTAAGATGAGTGACCTGATTGTACTTTCGAGTTACGTTCAGTGGCCAATTTTGTCCTTATTCTTACTTTTTTTTAAGTGTTTTAGTGTTTTAGTGTTTCACTAATTATTATTAGTTATATTTTTTTACTTGTTTTTTTTTTTTCATATCAATCAATATAGAGTGTTAGCCCGTTAAAGTTAATATATATATATATATATATATATATATATATATATATATCAAGAGTCCCAAATATTCAATTAAACATTTAATAGTCCACTTGTCTTTTTAGAACTATGTAAACCCCTGTAGAACTCTGTAGAACCCTTCCCTCGAGAACCATTCTGTCCTTCTCAATAATCAAAGCCTTTCAAAGGAATTAAAGGTAAGTCGTAGACTACTTTTTATTTGAGTATTTGTTAACTTGGAATTATATATATAAAAAAAAATCATACGAATTCTATGAACAAAATTACAGATCTGCTTGGTTCCTCCAGTGTCCGCCGTCTAAAGCTACAGTTTTGAATTTTGGGTTGTGCAATTTGTGTTATGATTTTGATTCTTTGAACAATTTATTCATTGTACCTACACATGTAATAGTACAATTTGATGTAGTGTAATTTACTGTAATTTTACATTTGTTATTTATTATGTATTGTAAACAATAGCGGTTTTTCGGTTACCAAAATTATCGACCGAAACCGACATTCGGTTTCGGTCAGTTATGTGTGTATAGTTGGTCGGTTATGAGGGTTCAAAAAAGTTATCAGTTTTTCGGTTATCGGTCGGTTATTGACCGTAACCGATCGATGCTCACCCCTACATCTGAACCAACCCATGGCTTCACGCAAATTATGCTGTGGAAACGTGTTCACCATGCGCATGGTGAACACATGGGTAGATCCATAATTTATATGCTATAGATTCATAATTTTGTATTTCATTTGTTGTTAACGACGTTTCTCTCTTCGCAATCGCGTTATTTCGTCTTCACAGTACAGATATTATGAATCTACAGTACAAAAATTATGAATCTACAATATAGAAATTATGAATCTACAATATAGATGTTATGAATCTACAGTATAAAAATTATGAATCTACAGTTTAGAAATTATGGATCTATCCCGTGTTCACCATGCGCATGGTGAACACGGTTCCACAACATAACTATTGATGGCTTCATGTTTATATTTTGCCGCATGGGTGCATGCTCAATGTTTTGTCCACAATAATAATATATGTACAGTCACAGTTAACTTAATCAAGCATATATTACCATATTAACATAAATCTACATTGACATTTTTACCGTCATAATTTTCATAAATTATGACACTATATTTAAAAAATCGATAAATTAATTTTTTACGGAACATATGAATCACATTTTAAAATTCATAAATATCCAAAATTAAGAACAGATGATCAAATGATTTGAAAAAGATCGTGGATCTTGAATGCAAGCGATTACCTAGAAGTTTTTACTAAATTTTAAGTTGTTAATTTGGATAAGCTACATAATTTACGCCAGAAAGATTAATGAACAACGAAAGATAAAGATAAATGGAACCAGACATCAAGAAATGTTCATGCAGTTCCGAGCCACACTCCTACGTCTGCGGAACAACTCACGTCACCCCAATCCACTAGATGATCAATAAGGAGTACAAAAAGGGAAGCACAATACGCTCTACGGTATACTACTAGCTGCTCCAACGAATCCTACATCATCATATTGAGTTGGACGTGCATGCCAATAACATCAGTAGACAAGCTTGCCAAGATGTCTTCAACACCTTCAATATTGTTAGGAATATAGCGGAATAATGCGGAAGCGAAGAATCGAAAATTGAGAATTATAGAAGTTGAATAATAGGAAAATATATAATAAATGACAAAATAATAAGATGTTAAATTGGGAGAATATAGAAATATATATACTAATCTCAAAAGAGAGAATTGCAATGGAAATATATATATTTGTCTACGTGAGAAAAAGAAATAAAGGAATGAATGATGAATCAATGCTGATGTGATTACAAATGCAAATAAGATAAACTATTTATACAACTAGGAAGTAGACTATTGCGCC